GTGAACCATCTCCTGAGTGAGCATAACATTGTCCGAAATAGATCTACCCTTGAGAAATCCCGTTTGATTAAGAGAAATAATATTGTTCATGATAAGAGCTAATCTACTATTAAGCAACTTAGAAATAATTTTCGAAGTGAAATTGCTTAAACTAATAGGTCTAAAATCCGTGAATTCCTGTGGGTTGTCTATTTTGGGGATCAAAACCAGATTGGTGTGAGTAAAAGACCTAGGGAGCTGATTACCAGAAAATAAATCTGAATTCCACTATAAATGCAACGACATCATTAACAAATTCATCCATCAATCCAACGATTAAAGGAAAAGGGACGAACAAAAATCAGTTTTTCGCAATTAATCAACAGAAATGGCAAGATCAAGCTACAAATTATCAGCCGTTCTTTTCAGCTTTGTTCTGCTGTTCATTCTCTCCATTTACGTGACAGAAAGTAGAATACTTTCATATAAGTATAGAACCTAAATATTTTCCTTGCTAGTATTAATTATGCCCAAAAAACCCATGACCCTAATTATAAAAGGTGAATTTTGTTAAATAATATATTATTTCTCAAATATTATTTTCTTGATGGGTGCAGTTGAAACTGGGACAAATTCTGTTCTAGTGTGCAGTAAAATTTATGGTGCAAATATTGGAGACACATGCTTCAGCATTATGCAGAATTTCAGTGTGACCCTTGAGGTTTTTACTACTTTCAATCCTAACCTCAATTGTGACAAAATGTTTGTTGGTGAATGGATATGTCTTGATGGTTCCTCCATCTAAAATATAAAGCAAGATTTTATCAAGCTCAAGAAATAAATACTTATATTAATCTCTTTGTACTATTTTTTTTTTGGTTGGGGAAAAAAAGTTCCCTTGTAGAACATTGTAGCAAAGTAGCACTGTCACGATCCAAAATTCACTAGTCGTAATGGCACCTAATCCAACCCGCTAGGTAAGCCAACTAATCACTATCCAACCTCAATAATGTTAATAAATCAATTAAACATAAATAAATTATATGGATCGATTACATTTCCCAAGGACTGATAGTACAAATCATGATCTTCTACGATTAGAGTTTACAAGCCTGATATGAAAAAAACACATCTTCTGTTTGAAAAGTACATAAACAGAATTTTATAGTTTAAGGCTACCGTAAACAAGAGGCAGCTACAGCAGGAACACGGGTACGCCTTCAAATCCAGCAGCGATCGAGCGTAGCAACATCGGCATCCAGATCTGCACACACTGTGTAGGAAGTGCAGTATGAGTATAACCGACCCCATGTATTCAAAAAGTAACAAACCTAACCTCGGGTTGAAAGTAGTGAAGAACTGGTATATAAGTCGAGTCCAACACAAATAATTAACAGTAGTTCATACAGTGTACAACAAATAAATAAAGAAATAGCTCAGAAATAAAGTGCTCAGCCTTTTCATAGTTTTTTGAAAATAGTTTCACTTTGCAAGTATACCAATGAAAGCCTAAATCCTCTACCGCAATCATTAAAGATATGAGTAAGTTTTGAAAACTATAACTTTTTCCTGAAAATCCTTTCCACAATAGGTAAACATGTTTCATTCCCTTTTTTTCAAATAACAAGTGTGAAATACCTCTGTATAATCACATATTGATGTATGTAAAAAGTCATGAATGACATGATACCGTACATCATGAGAAAAAATGTGTCTCTATGCATGTATGCCATATATGCATGCCAATGCCATGTACCTCGGAGATGAATCATGTACTTACACTCTCAGAGTACTCACCCTTACTACATCTCACTCAACCACTCGATACTGTATATGGCCCAGGAAAATCCATCCCGGAACATATACACACTGACTATAAGTCGCCCAAACCGAGGATAAAGGTTAATCCAATCCTATGGAGAAATCTATCTCCATGTATCAAGTACTTCGGACAAATTCATACCCAGGGAAATCCATCCCTCAATAATAACATCCTCGCTCACTAGGGGTGTGTAGACTCTGGAGGGGTTCCTTCAGCCCAAGCGCTATAATAAGCCAACGAAGGCATAATCAATAATTTGCTGCGGTGTACAAGCCGATACCATAACTATCACTCATAATCAGGCTCTCGGCCTCACTTAGTCATCAATCTCTCCAGTCTCACCCATGGGCTGACAAAGTCATGAAAACTGACCCAGAATAATGATATGATGTATCAATAAGTAACAACTGAGACTGATATATGATATAAATGCATGAATGTGACTGAGTACGAAATATCAATGAATTCAATAAATGACAGCAAGAAACGACCACTGTGGGTCCCAACAATATCAACATAAAGCCTAAACATGATATCTAGCATGATGTACATCTCATTTATCTTATCACATGGTGAAAACACAGATATCAATAAAATATGGCCACTATTAAGTGCCCTGGGAATAATAGAGTCACAACTCACAGGGTTCACGCTCACACGCCCGTCACCTAGCATGTGTGTCACCTCAACACCAATCACATAGCACATAATTCGGGGTTTTATATCCTCAACACTAAGTTTAGAAGAGTTACTTATCTTAAACAAGCCAATTCCGACACCGAGCAAGCCAAGCGGTGCTCCAAGAATCCCATCACGCGCGTTTCGACCTTCGAATGGTCGAATATTTAATCAAAAGCCCAAAATCAGCCAAAAACCCAACCCGGTCACGCACCTTGGAACCCGACAAAACTCACAAAATCCGTCAACCCATTCAATTACGAGTTCAAGCATACTAGTTTCACTCAAATCCGACTCCGAAGCGGTGTTCAAACTCAAAAATTCATATTATGAAACTTTAGACCAAAACCCCCAATTTCTTCTTTAAAATTCATCAACTAAAAGCTAAAATAGAAGATAGATTCATGAAATATAATCAAAACCGAGTAAAGAACACTTATCCCAATTCATATACTGAAAAGCGCCTTGAAAAATTGCCCAATTCCGAGCTCCCCAACTCAAAATATTTTAAATGCACAAAACCCTTATTTTAACACTGTTCTGCCTTGTTTCTTGTGCCAAAAGATCTCAAAACCCACTTTTGATACCTCCAATGGATTCCTTGTAAAATTCTAGTCAAGTTAGGCTCTTGAATCACTCCATTTGACCTTATATTGAAGGAGATATATTTGTTTCAATATTTGGAAATAGTGCAGATTTTTAAATACGCAGCAGTGGTAATTTCGTAATTAATCTGAAAATATGGCAAAACAATTCTTAGTAAAATGACCATAAAATCCTCATACGATGTCCAAATTTGACGATTCTTTTTGCTATGGCTCCGTAATTACGATACGGATCTAATGCTTCAATAAAAGCAGAAATCGGAGCTCATTTGCTTAATGTAGTACCATTTATGCTTGAAGAAACGACGTCAAAGCATAAAAAAAACGAGCACAACACAACTCAAACCTATCCGAAACTCACCCGAGCCTCTCGGGACCCGTCCAGAAATACCAAAAAGTCTCATAAAATAATACGGACCTACTCGAGGCCTCAAATCACGCATAACAACATCGAAATGATGAATCGCACCCCAAATCAAGCTTAATGAACTTTTCCAAACCTTCAAATTCCAATGTTCGCCAATTAGTGCTGAATCTTTCTAGAAATATCCAATTACAAATTCGGGCATACGCTCGAGTCCAAAATTACCATCCGGACCTAATGGAACCATCAAGACTCCAATCCGAGGTCAAATGCTAAAAAGTCCAACTTGGTCAACTCTTCCAACTTAAAGCTTCAATCATGAAGTCCATTCTTCCAAATCGATTCCGAACAACTTGAAAATCAAAACCGACGATTGACACAAGTCATAATACATCATACGGAGCTACTTATGCCCATAAACTACCGAGTGAAATTCAAATGCTCAAAACGCCCGATCGAGTCGTTACAAGCACTGTCTGATTTGTGAATAAAGGCTAAGGCTAATGTATGATTAAATTAAAGAAGCAATAATCTTGAGCTTTTTGGATTGTTTCTGGTTTTCTTTTCATGTTTCAGCTTCCTTATTTAAGAACTTATATAATTAATTCATGTTCTAAGTTGATTTCTTAGCATACTTCATAATTGATCTTTATATATAACTTGCACAAGACGATCAAATTCTATCTATAACCTACTTATTCCCTCTTTTGAGCAGCATTTTGGTATATTACCCAGCCAAGTACAGCCAAATATCCAGAGAAATAGTAAAATTCAGTAGAGACGGACGATAATGAGAAGAAATCATTCAACAAAAACCAAACAAAACCATAATCCAGTGCGAATGCAGTCCAAACGAAAAAAAACTCGATGAAAACTGAAGAGGTTAACATCGATCGGAAGCTAATGATACGATCTACCAGAATCTATGCTCTGATACCATGTAAATTATCGAAATTTATAGAGAGATTGACAAAATGTAAACTAGGGTTCATAGGTTGAGAGAAGGTTCGGGAGAAAGCAGATATTTTCTACATTGAGAAATGTCAATCTGGTTACAAAAATGAGGGACTCCTCTTATAAATAATGGGCCTGACCCGGTGGCCTAACTAATACAAAACAATGGACTCAATATAGACATGGACCTGAGTTATAAGAATATCCCAAATAATTCAGCCTTTATCTAATATTCTAACAAGTATACAAAAGAATGTCATAAATATTGCATTAAACATTTGCGATCATGGAAAAGATCATGGAAAGATTATGAAAGTGTGAGAGTTACAACTATAATGGTGAGAAATAATGGAGGTTCTCTACATAATGGAGAAGAGTAGTGAGAGTTATATTTGATTAGTGGACATCCATATAAATATGTATTTCATAACAAGTTGTAGATAATGTAATGTGTACAACGATGTCGGCAACCGTGTGGTCAATTGAAGGAAATTACAACGTCCAATTTTCGTCTCATTTTGATAAATATCTAAAGTAATTCCACTATAAATGCAGAGGCATCATTAACAAATTCATCCACCAATCCAATGATTAAAGGAAAAGGGACGAACAGAAAATCAGTTTTTGTGCAATTAAACAACAGAAATGGCAAGAGCCAACTACAAAGTATCAACCGTTCTTTTCAGCTTTGTTCATGTTGTTCCTTCTCTCCGTTTACGTGGCAGAAAGTAGAATACTTTCATGTAAGTAACAAACCTAAATATATTACCTTGCTAGTATTAATTATGCCTAAAAAGACCCATGACCCTAAATATAAAAAGTAAATTTTATTAAATAATATATTATTTTCTTGATGGGTGCAGCTGAAACTGGAACAAATTCTGTTCTAGTGTGTAGTAAGATTTATGGTGCAAATATTGGAGACACATGCTTCAGCATTATGGGAAATTTCAGTGTGACCCCTGAGGTTTTTACTGCTTTCAACCCTAACCTCAATTGTAACAAAATGTTCGTTGGTGAATGGATATGCCTTGATGGTTCCTCCATCTAAAGTATAAAGCAAGGGATTATCAAGCTCAAGAAATAAATACTCACAATTAAATCAGTACTGTCTGATTTGCGAATAAAGAGTAAAGCTAATGTATGATTAAAAAAGCAATTTAATCTAGCTTTTTCGTATTGTTTCGGGTTTTCTTTTCATATTCCAGCTTCTTTCTTCAACAATTTATTTAATTAATTCATGTTCTAAGCTGATTTTTTAGCGTACTTCATAATTGTTTATATATAACTTGCACAAGACGATCAAATTCTATCTATAATCTACTTATTCCCTCTATTGAGCAGCATTTTGGTATATTACCCAGCTATTACTACTAGCATGTCATTCTTAATTAAATTAACTTGATGGAATGAGTTAGAACCATTTGGAAACAAAAAACCAAATCAAATTGATTTTTTTTATTTGATTTGGTAATTTGTTTCCGATTCCTAAACGTTTCGTAGTTTCACCGCTCCCTTCGCAAAGTTAATTTAGACAACGATAAAACTAAGAATTAATAAAGGTTGTGCAATCAGCAATCAAAATGAAGTAATGATACATGGGATATATGTGAATGCATGAAACCATTTTTCGATATAAAATTGAACACAACACCTTGTGGTGAAAAATCACATAGAGAATATAATAGATTATTCAATCACCACTCCTCACTTATTGATTTCTATTAGGCTTAGGGCCAAGACAAATACTAGATCAAGAAATTGGTAATTTTCCTATCCATGGTTTAATGGCCAAAACGAGGATTTTCACTCTTCAAAAAATGCCTTTCGCGAAGGATTTGTGNAATATGGATTTTTCTCTTCCATTGGACTTTATCTTTAGCTAAATTTACGGTGCTTACAATGATTTATAGATCTTTCGAAACAACTTCCTTCCATGTAACTTAAGGGTGTTTTTTTTTACTAAGGGAAGTCATTTTCTTTAAAAAATAAAATAAATTACTTATAGGTGTTTTTGGTATGGATCGAAGTAAGTTTCTAAGAAAATAGTTAAGAATATTTTTGCTACAATGGAAGTCATTTTTAGTGTTTGATCACTAGAAAATATGTTCATACGTAAAATGACTTTCCTCACATTTTCCTTCGAAGTTCAAACTATCTTAGTTTTTAATGCCACTTGCTCAAAATAAAACCTAGATATTATCATCCATCTTTAATACTCAGAAATTTCATAAAAAACTATTTGATTTGATAATATTACTAACTAACTTTAATATAATAGCACATTTTCACTCATCGACCAAATACTAGTTGTGTAATTTATCTTTTATTTTTCAATAATTATAATATGCAGTAAGATTTATGGTGCAAATATTGGAGACACATGCTTCAGCATTATGCAGAATTTTAGTGTGACCCCTGAGGCTTTTACTACTTTGAATCCCAATCTCAATTGTGACAAAGGGGGTGTTTGGTATAACGGAAAAAATTTTCCACGGAAAATGTTTTCCACGGAAAATATTTTCTAAGAAAATATTTTCTTGAAAAACAAGTAGTAATCTTATTCATTTTTCGGTATTTGGTACACAAATTAAGAAAAATAACTTCTCAAAAGTATTTATAAATAATTTAGATACAATAAATATGAAGCTATAAGCTTTCGAACCAACAACCTTCCGAACCCACAAATTTCATAAACTTTCGAACCGCTAAACTTTCGAATCCGTAAACTTTATAATTTCTAAACCCTTAATCTTCCAAACACATAAACCTCCGAACTCATAACTTTGAAACCTGTAAAATTTCAAACCTAAAAACCCAAAGATAAAAAAAACTAAAATTGAGAATGTGATGACCCAAAGGGTCATCTTATGTTTTAGAACTCAATTCCATATTTCGAGGCCTTAAAACCTCGTTTTATCTCTTCTCGATTTGCGTACGCAGTCCGGGCATAATTCTGGAAAGCATTTATGTGGAAAATTTATGAAATAATAATTTTTGACATAAAAAGTTGATTTTAGTTGACTTTGGTTAATATTTTGAGTAAACGAATCCGGACCCGTGTTCTGACGGTCCTGGTGGGTCCGTAGTAAAATATGAGACTTGGGCGTATGCCCGGAATCAAATTCCGAGGTCCGTAGCCCAAGAAATAAATTTTTGATGAAAATTATAAGATTGAAATTATAATGGTTTAAAGAATTTTGGTAATGTTTGATCTTAGTGGTATCAGGTCTGTATTTTGGTTCCGAAGCTCGGTACAGGTTTGTTGTGATATTTATACATTATCTGTATAATTTGGTGAGAAACGGAACTGATTTGACGTGATTCAGACCTTCGATTGAGAAAATAGAAGTTTTAAAACTTTCTTGAAAATTTCATGCAATTTGGTAATAAATTCGTAGTTCTAGGTGTTATTTTGGCAATTTGATCGCACGAACAAGTTTGTATAATGTTTTAAGACTTGTGTGCATATTTGGTTTGGAGCCCCGAGAGCTCGGGTGAGTTTTGGATAGGCTACAAAGTGATTTGGACTTAAGAAAATTTGCTGGTATGCTTCAGGTCTGCAGATCTCGCAAATGCGAGCCTCGCATTTGCGAAGAATGTTCGCATTTGTAAGCATGGGAGGGGACTGGGTAGTTTGCATTTGCGAAGAAAAGGTCCGCATTTGAGAATGGATCTACGCATTTACGATACCTGCAGGAATGCAAGGGAGTTCGCATTTACGAAACTTTTCTCGCATTTACGAGCTTCGCAAATGCGATATCTGCAGCTGATAAGTCTTGGCTTAGACGGGATTTTTCTCATTTTTAAAAGCTTCCAAATACAAGAAACCCTCTAGGCGATTTTTCAAAGATCAATTCTTCCCCAAATCATAGGTAAGTGATTCTTAACTTGTTTCTTTCAATCTTTCACTTCATTCTACAAGAATTCAACCAAATATTTAGCGATTTCACGGTGAAAATTGGGAGCTTGGGTAAAATTAGTGATTTTTATATAATTGGAATTTAGACCTCGATTTGAGGTCGGATTTCGAAACTAATTACATATTCGGGCTCAGGGGTGAATGGGTTTTGGTCCGAACCTCGAGTTTTGATCAAGCGAGCCCGGGGTCAGTTTTTGATTTTTTGGGGGAAAATATTGGAAAACCTATAATTATGTATTGGAATTGATTTTCTTAGCGATAAATGATGTTATTAAGTTAATTATAACTAGATACGAGTGGTTCGAAGGTAGAAACTAAAGGAAAAGCCGTAATTGAGCTTTGAGTTGGTCGTTGGATTAAGGTAAGTGTTTGGTCTAACTTTGACTCGAGAGATTAGGGATCCTCGACTTAATTTCTATGTGAAATTCCATGTGTGTGACGTATAGGTGAGGTGACGAGTACCTATGCGCCGCCAATTTATCTGTTTGATTGTTCCCTTCCCGTGCTTAATTTATTGTTCCCTGCCTTAATTGCTACCTGTCTATTTAATATTTCCATGATTAGTTGCTACTTCTCGGATATAGCTTTCATTGTTAAAAGTATTGGACATTACGTGGTTTCATCGTTTCATATTATTGGTTTAAGATATTTATCAGTGTTTATTAGTATACTTTGGATTAATCTCGTTGAGTAGTGTAGTTCGAGTGAAGTTTCATAATTTTACAGCTTCCCGTTTGTTTTAGTTGAGGTTAAATATTATGGGGAGTTTTGAGCCATATTGTGAAATTTATGTTCTTATTGTATGATTGGCACTGATATGGTGGGATCGGGTTGCGCACCGCAACAAGAGGAATAAAGGTGATATATTGAGGAGTAACAAGGGTGAATTACTATTGTACGGTGGGATCGGGTTGCACGCTGCAACAGAAGGAATAAGAGTGGATTGATAAGGAGTAATAAGGGTGAATGTTCATACTGTTACTGATTATATAGTGGGATCGGGATGCGCGCCGCATCGGTTTATTGTTTATGTATCCTTCTTCTGCTGTGAAGTTACTCTATAATGTTGTGTCTCACTTAAGGATTGGTTATAACTGGTACTGATAAGATATTTGAGTTCCGTATTCATTTTTGTCGCAAGTTACTGTTTCATTTTGTACTGTACTTCTTTTTCGCTTAATTATATAATGTATGCAGGATATATTGTAATTGCCCCACCGTAGCCTCGTCACTACCTCGTCGATGTTAGGCTCGACACTTACCAATACATGGGGTCGGTTGTACTGATACTGCACTTTGCACTTTCTGTGTAGATTTCGGAGTAGGCAGTGGCTGATTGAGTGTTTGACTGCAGGTCCATAGTTTGGAGACACAAGGTAGTCCTATTAGCGTCCGTAGGCCCTAGCGTCCCCTTTTACATTTATGCATTTTTGTTTTTCTTTCAGACCAATATTTGTAGTAATCATAGTATGTTCGTGGATTGTGACACCAGTTTCTGGGAGTAGTAATAGTTTTGGCAATAGTTTATATATAAAGCAGTGTTTTACTTACTTCCGCAGTTATGATCACTTGTTTTAACTTGTTTATTTTTATTCAATAAATTGTAAAGGAAAATGGTTAATAAATCTCTAACATTGTCTTGCCTAACGAGTGTGTGTTAGGCGCCATCATGGTCCTGTTGGTGGGAATTCCGGATCGTGACAAGTTGGTATCAGAGCACTAGGTTGCCTAGGTCTCACAATTTTTGGACAAGCTTAGTAGAGTCTGAGGGATCGGTATGAAGATGTCTGTGCTTATCCCCCAGAGGCTACAGAGTTTAGAAACAATTTCACTTCTATTCATCTCCGTCGTGCGATTTGATCTCTCAATGGTAATTGACCTCTCTACTCTTGCTCCTTTGTAGATAGAGAGAACACGTACCGCTTTTTCAGCTGAGCAGCAGCCAAAGACCCCATTGGCAGCTCCTACGAGGGGCAGATGACGAGGCAAGGGCAGGGCTCAGCCAGAGCTTGAGCACCAGCACCAGCAGCGAAGCCTCAGGTAGAGTTTGATGAGGAGGCTCCAGCCTAGACCGTTCCAGCAGGGCCATCTCAGGTTCTAGAGGGGTTCATCACTACCGCAATACTTCAAGATGCTTTGGTCCGTCTAGTGGGCCTTATGGAGAGTGTTGCTCAGTTTGGCACATTTCATGTAGCACCAGCCGTCTCTCAGGCAGAGGGAGGAGCCCAGACTCCCGCTACTCACACTCCGGAGCATATTGCTCCCCAGTTTCAGACCC